TTATATAATTTTTTTAATATATCCATAATAAGTTATATGATATGATGACTCTCTCTTTCCTAAATTCTTTCTATTTTCAAATTCTTTATTTTTTTAATGTAAAATTTAAATTTAAAATCTTTAATATAAATATTTAAACTCCTATGATATGTTTTGATTAAGGGAAATAAAAAGGAGAGAAGGGAAAAAAATTTCACCATTTAATTATTAAAAAAATAAATGAAATGAAAAGAAAGGAGAGGGAAAAGTTTTCTTTTATTTTATTTTATTTTTAATTTAGTTATTAGGAGAAAAAAGAAAAAGGAAATGAAAAGATATAATTTCTTTTCCCTTCCCTTTCCTTCATCTTTATTCCCTTCAATCTTTTTTTTTTTTAACATTTTGACACGGAACGGATTCGAAATCCGTCCAGGGGAGGAGGGAATGCACCTAGCAAGCTGACTAATGCCAGGGGGCCTCTAGGCCCAGGTGCCCCTTCAATCTAAATATATGGTTAATCACTAAAACTTATGAATTATATAATATTTTAAAAACTAATTCTCTTATTTTCAAAACTTTTAATTATTGAAATGTCCTACAAAACTTATGGGTTATATAATACTTAAAGAGATAACCTCATTTTTTTTTTTTTTTGAATAGAAGGGAATTTTTAGAGGAAAGGGATTATAGAGCTTGAGATTTGAACCCAAGTCAATATGTTCATCGCACTCTTTTAAAAAGATGGTCCCTAGGCCACCAAGGATTGGACAGATAACCTCTTATTCTCAAAAACTTTCTCACCTATTAAAAAATTAGAATTTGAGGCGTATAAGCTTGTTCATCACTTCATACCATACTATTCTAAATATAATATTTTACTTGATAATAATTCCTATGATAATATTAATATATAAAAGACAGGAGGGGGTCCGGAGATTTTGATCAATCTCAAGGAAAATGAAAGCTGACCCAACAATAAAGGGAAAGCATATTTGTCTTTTGCTATGAACCACGGGTGGACTGATTGTTATATATATAATTGAATAATTAATGTTACAAATTAATTATTGGCAGATTTTTTAATACGAGGTCCTAATTAACAAATTCAACTACAGGAAACCTAACATTTGACGCGTTCTTGATTGATTTCTTTTTTATTTACTTAAAAAAAAGATATTATACACCAGCTTCACTTTACATGAATGGCACATTTTATTACCATTGATAAGAGACATATCTTTTAATATTAAAAGGTTAAATGTTAATTTTGGTCCCTCAATTTTAATTATAGTGTCACACAATTTTCATCCCTCAACTATTTTTTATATTTTTTTGATCCTCAACTCCAGAAATTATACAATTTTGATCTTCCGTTAGTTGAGTCACACTTGGTTGTTAAAATATTTTAGAATGGTGCATTTTTTTATGACATGTAATAACATATCGTATAAAAATGCCAAGTCAGATTTCACGACATTAAACAATTTACAAATTAAAGACAAAAATACAAATTTACCCCCACTTTCATCTTCTTCATGGTTATCCTTCTCTCTCACTGTTCATCTTCCCTTCTCCTTGCCTATCTCCCCCTCCTATCCTTTCTCTAGCCACTAACTTCCTCCTTATCCTTTCCCAATCATTCAAGTTCTATTTATCTTTTTGGGGACTTGTTGATATTGTATTGAATTGAATTTCAATGTGTTTCACAATCCAAGAAATTCATGGGAAGGGTCCTTTGGATCTGGAAATAGGCTTGGCAAATGGACGGGTTGGGTTGGCTTCGGGTTGGGTCAACTCGAGTAACGGGTTATACATGTTAAGTTATAAACGGGTTATGGGTTGGAAAGGTTCAACCTTAACCCAACTCTAGCGGGTTACAAGTTAACCTGCGTGTTGGGCTTATTTTTATTTTTTATAATTATTTTTATTAATGTTATTATAAACAAATAAAATTATATATATCTAAATATAATTAAAGTA